AGCGCGCGCCGCCGACCCGGACGCGACCGGGCGCGAGGGGAGTGGGGGGAGGGGCTGGGGGATGGGGGGCGGCGGTGGCGGGGCGGCGTCCCGGGCGGCGTCGAGGCGTGCGCGGCGCGTGGTGAGAAGGAGCGACGTCCGTTGTAGGCAACGCCCGCGCGTATAAGCGCGAGCGCCGCCGCGCGAGCGCCGCCGCGCGCGCGCCGCGCCGCGCCGCGCGAGCGCGCGCGCTCACGCGTCCTTCTTCTCGTCGCCGCCCGCGGGCTCGTCCGCCTTGGCGGGCTCGGCTTCGCCCTCCTCGGGTTTCGGGGGCGCGTCGGAGAAGCCGCGCGCGGGCTTCTTCGCCTCCTTGCGGTCGCGGGAGCGGCTGCGGGAGCGGCTGCGGCTGCGGCTCGACGAGGACGACGAGGACGACGAGCGGGAGCGGCTCCGGCGCGTCTTCTCCGCCGGCGGCGCGCCCGGCGGCGGCGCGGGCGGCGGCGGCGCGCCGCCGTTCGTCGCGCCGGCGACGGCGGACGCGGACGCGAGGCGCTGCTGGGCCTCGGCGGCCATCTGGCTCAGCGACTGGGGCGCGCCGCCGTAGGGCCCCTGGCCGTAGCCGCCCGCGGGCATCGGCGGAGGCTGCGCGAAGCCCGCGGGCATCCCCCCGCCGTAGGCGCCGCCGCCGCCGCCGCCGAGGGGCTGCTTGCACTCCCAGGTCTTCTCGCGGTCGTGGACCATGACGCCCATGGAGGAGAGCTCGTCGCGGAGCTGGTCCGCCTCCTGGAAGTTCCGCGACATCTTGCACTGGAGCCGCCGCTTGAGGATCGCGTCGACGCGCGCGACGTCGACGGGCGCGCCGCCGTCCTCGAGGCGCCGGTAGTCGTGGCCCGTGGACGGGTCGATCATGCCGTAGGTCTGGCCGTAGGCCTGGCGGGGCCGCATGCCCATGCCGTCGCCGCCGAAGCCGCCGCCGGGCGGGCCGCCGTAGCCGCCGCCGCCGTACTGGCCGGGCGGCGCGCCGTAGCCGCCGCCGCCGCCGTACTGGCCCCCGTAGCCCCCCTGCGGGGGGTAGCCGCCGCCGTAGGGCTGCTGGTAGCCCCCCTGCTGGGGGTAGCCGCCGTACTGCGGCTGTGCGCCGTAGCCGCCGCCGTACTGCGGCTGCGCGCCGTAGCCGCCGTACTGCTGGCCGTACGCCGCCTGCTGCGCGTTCGGGTCGAAGCCGCCCGCCGGCGCCTGGCCGCCGGCGCTCGGGTCGCCGCCGGGGGGGGCGGACATGGTCGTGGAGTCGCGGCGCGGCGGTCGACTTGGGCCGTCGGCGACACCTTCGATGCGATTTTGAGTGGAGCCGGCGCGCGCCTCGCCGGGGCTCGAACGATTTCGCCTTCGGCCTCGCGCGCGACGCCCGCCGGGACGCGCCACCCGCGCTCACCGAAAGGGCCGCGCCTCGCTTACGCGCGGGCCTAGCAGAGCTTCTGGGACACGGCGACGCCGCTGAGGCCCGCGGCCTCGACGGTCGCGTCGTTGTCGTCGAGGGGCTTGGGCGGGAAGCCCGCGAGGAGGGCGTAGGGCGCGTCGCCCGCGCCGTGGTCCGCGACGACGCGGCGGAGGTGGCGCACGGTGTGGTCGAGGTTGAGCGTCACGGCGACGCGCTTCCCGTTCGCGAGGCGGAGCTGCAACTTGGCGGACGGCTTCGCCGCGTCGACGACGGGCGACGCCGGCAGGTCGCCGCCGTCGTCGGCCGCCGCGGGCGGTGCGGCGCTCCCGCCGAGGGTCTGGCCCGCGCCCGCGAAGGCCGCCGGCGCCGCCGGGGGGGGCGCCGGCGCGTCGTCGTCGTCGTCGTGGTCGTGGTCGTGGTCGTGGTCGTGGCCGCCGCGGCGCGCGAGGGGCCCGTTGGGCCCCCAGGGGCACTTGAGGGGCCGCGCGTCGGCGACGCCGAAGCGCACGCGCCGCGCGCGGCCCCGCAGGTCGACGCGGCGCAGGCTCGGCGGCACCTCGTCGCGGTCGAGGTGCGCGAGGAACTCCGCGGAGTCGGGCGCGTCGAAGGCCCGCAGGGGCGGCGGCTCGAAGCGCGGCCGCCGCGCGGCGGGCGCGCCGTCGCGGAGCGTGGCGATGCCCGCGCGGCGCGGCGCCGGCTCCGCCGGCGGCGCCGCCGCGGCGCCGTTCGGATCCTCCTCGACGGTGAAGCCGTCGGCGAAGAACGTCACGCGGACGTCCAGCGGCTCGCCGACGTCGTCGGCCGCCGGCGCCGCCGGCGCCGCCGCGTCGTCCGCGCTGCCGTCGCCGAGCTTCGCGCCGGCGCCGAGCGCGCGCCACTTCGACTCGGCCTCGCGCTCGGCGCCCGCGCCGCCCCGCGAGTTCTCCTCGGCGCGGGCGAGGATGCCGTCGGCGAAGGCGGCGCCGGCCTCCGCCGCGCCGGGCTCGGGGGCCGCGTCCGCCGCCACGGCGTCCTCGCCGCCCTTGGCCTCGTCGTTGTCGGCCATGTCGAGTGGTGTTGCCACTTCGACACCCGCTTCGGCGAGGCCGTTCGGGCAATCGCGGTGTATAGTACGCCTTATAGTGTGTCTGTGGCCGCGCGCAGCGACCCGTGGCCGCGCCCTCGAAACACCCACGGCTCCTCCCCGCTTACGCCGCGCCCACGACTCACGTCTCCGGCTCGGGCTCGGGCTCGGGCTCGGGGTTCTGCTTGTTGAAGTCGAGCATCTTCCGGAAGTCCATGAGGGAGATCTTGCCGTCGCCGTCGACGTCGCCCGTCTCCGTGAGGATGGTCAGGTCGTCGTCCGTGATCTCGCCGAAGCCGAGGTTCTCGAAGATGGACCGGAGCACGTTGCTGTCGACGAAGCCCGTGCCGTCCGGGTCGTAGACCTTGAAGGCCTCGGCCACGGGGTCGAAGTTCTTCACCTCGTTCTCCAACAACAGCTCCTTGAGGTCCTCGAGGGTCATCTCGCTCTTGTTGTTCATGAGGAAGCGGTACTCCTTCGCGGGCATGTTCTTGTAGAAGACGCCGAGCCGTTTCCGGAGGTTGCCGAGGGTGATCTTCCCCGACGAGTCGACGTCGAAGAAGTCGAAGGCGGCCTTGAGCTCCTCCTCCGTGACGAGCACGCCGCCCTTGGAGTTCCGAGGCACGAGGTCGTCGCCGCCGGACGTCGCGCGCCGCTTCATGGCCTTGGACGCGTCCTCGCCCTTCTTGGAGCTCATGGTTTCCGGCGCCGGTCTCGGCGCGCCCGGGCGCCGCTGCGCCGAGCCGAGGCGCGCGCCGGGCGGGAGCGACGAGGCGGACCGACGACGCGGCGCTCGACGCCAGGAACCGCGCGGGGCAGCCCAACCTCCGTTGGCAACCAGGGTGATATGGCAGGTTCAACAAAACGCCTCGCAAAACATCTTCGCAAAACGAGGGGCTCTTTTGTGGCAAAGCTCTTGTAACAAAGCTTTTGAACGTCGGACGAGCGAGCCCTGGCCGGCATGGACTACTTCCTGCTGGGCAAGGGCGCGCTGCTGGTCCGCGAGCGGTCCCTCGTGAGCAGCGCGCTGCAGACCTGGGCGTCGGTGTCCAGCGGCGCCTCGCTGGAGGCGTCCTTCGACGACGACGACGGCGACGGCGCCTACGTCTTCTCCGAGCCCTCGGACGCCGAGGAGGAGGAGGACGTGGGCAGCCTCGCGGCGACCATCTCCGACGCGACGGCCGCGCGCCTCGCGGCGACGCTGAACCGCCTGTCGCCCGCGTCGGGCGACGCGAACGACGCGCCGTCGCCTCGGAGCCCCGCCGCGCGCGCGGACGCGCCGTCGCCTCGGAGCCCCGCGGAGCTCTACCCCGGCGAGCCCGCGGAGAACCTGCTCGCGCGCCTCGGCCGGTCGCCCTACGCGCCGGACGCGCCGACGCCCGGCCCGATTCCGCCGACGCCGAGCCCCGGCGCGGCGCACGCGTCGCGGCCGTCGCCGCCGCCGCGCGCGCCCGTCGCCGTGCACCCCCAGCGCCGCGCCGTCAACGCCTGCCGGAGCCTGAGCCGGCGCGCGTCGGCCCACGCGCGCGACGCCGCGGCGCGCCTGAGCCGGCTCCTCGCGCTGCGGCGCCGCGACGCGAAGCGGCGCGCGGTCGGGCGCTGGCTCGCGGACGTCGCGGGCGAGCGGGCGACGCGGGAGGCGCGGGCGGCCCTGGACCGGTCGCTCGACGCCGCCGAGGCGCGGCGGCTCGGCGCCGTCGCGCTCGCGAAGGCGCTCACGCGGAAAGTCGACGACGCGACGGCCGCCGGTTTGGACGTCGCCCGGCTCCGGCGGGCCAAGGCCGTGGAGCGGCGGCGGGGCGACGCGCGCGTCTTCGCGGCGGCGTGCCGCGGCGTGCTGCGCGCCTCCGCGGGCCGGCGCGCGGGCGTCGCGCTGCGGCGGTGGCGCCGCGCCGCGGACGCGTCGACGCCGCCGCCGCCGCCGCCGCCGCCGCGCGACGTCGTCGCGACGCGCGGCGCCCTGGTCGCCGGCGCCCTGGCGGCGCTGGTCCTCTGCCGGCGGCGCGCCGCGCGCGAGGCGCTCCGGCGCGCGGTCGCCGCGTGGACCGCCGCGGCGTTCGCGGGCGCCGTCGCGGACCTCGACGCCTTCGACGGCGAGCTGCGGTCCGCGCGCGCGGCGCGGGCCGACGCGGATTCGGGGCGGGAGCTCGCCGAGGCCGCGCGCGACGGCGCCGCGCGGGCCGCGCGGCGCGCGGGGCTGCCGCGCGTCGTCGCGGTGGCCCTGGCGACGTGGCGGTCGCGGCGGACCGGCGCGGCCTTCGGCGCCTGGGCGCGCAACGCGATGCGCGCGGGCCTCGCGCGGGACCGCGCGGTCTGGAAGGTCGCGGCGCTCGCGCGCCTGCGGAGCCTCGTGAAGCGCGTCGGCGACCTCGAGGCGAGCCTCGAGACCGCCGCGGCCGCCGCGCCCGCGCCCGCGGCCGCGGCCGCGCCCGCCGCGGAGGAGGCGCCGGCGCCGCGGCGACGCAAGGTCCCGCGACGGCCGGCGCACCGCGAGCCCGGCTTCATCCCGCCGCCGTGCTGCGAGCACGTCCCCTACCGCCTCCTCTCCGTCAAGGCCCAGGTCCCGCCGACGCCGCCGAGGCTCGACCGCAAGAAGCCGCCGCCGCCGCGCGCCCGGAGCCCGGAGAGAGAGCCGCCGCCGAAGACGTACGTCGTGACGTTGCCGTTTTGATTTTAAGTTTGGCTTGTGGCGGGGTGGCGGGAGGGACTTGGCACGAGCGTGGCTGAGCTCAGGCCCGACGGCGCAGCCGCGCAAGACCATGACGGAGCGAGCGGTCGAGCTTCTCCTTGAGGCCAGACCATTCGCCAAACGATTCCCAGCAGACGACATAGGTGGCACCCACGGCGGCGAAGAAAAAGCCAGCGAAGAAGGCGTGGGAGGTGTGAGTAAAGTTGGGGAACGGCAACTCCGCGAGGCGCTCGCGCAGGTTCTCGTTCTCGTCGCACAGCTTCTCGTTCTCGTCGCGCAGCTTCTCGTTCTCGTCGCGCAGGTCCTCGTTCTCGCCGCGTCGGTCCTCGTTCTCGGCCCGCAGCGATTCAGCCAGCCCCCGCAGCAACGGGACATTCTTCTCGATGCAGAATGTATCCGAGTCGTCCCAGATCGTGGCGCAGAAAGCCTCGATGCAGGACTCGAGGAACTCCTGCTTCGAGACGAGGCCCTGGGTGATCAACCGGTCAGAGGCCTGAGACATCTCGAACTTGCAGAACAGCAGCATGGCCTTTTCTTTAATCGTCAGGGGACCGTCCACAACGTAGGTGGCCGCTAGATTGGCATCTAGTTCCTCGGCCGCCGCCGGCAGGACGCACCCGCGGTCGAAGGCGATGGTCAGGAGGACGATGATGGACGATTTCATGATTCCCGGGGGCGTGAGCGGACACGGGCGTCAAGGGTAGAGCTGCGAGGGGGATGCGCCGCACCGGGGACGCGAGTCGAGCTGGGCTGCACCTCGGCTTCACTAATCAAGGCTTGTCGTCAACGTCGACAAAACGAGCAAGCTTATGGCAAAAGCATCGGCGGCAAGAGCTTGCTAGCTGTGACAACAGCAGCGCAGAAGCCCTAAAAAGGCACCACCAGTAAAACCGCACAAGATGACTACCATCCGCCGCTGGACGCTGCTCGCCGCCTGCGTGTCCGTCGCCGCGCAGGCGCGGGCGCGCACGAGTATGTGCGACGCCGACGGCACGTGCCACGAGCAGCCCGCCGTGCCCTCGCCGCGGACGCGCTGGACGATCGGCACGCAGGGCATGCGCGAGTGGTTCGCCTTCCACCAGGCGCTCGCCAACGAGGCGGCGGCCTTCGCGCCGCGGAAGCCGCCGCTCGTCTTCGTCGGCGACTCCATCACGGAGACGTGGCGCGGCACGTCCGTAGGGAGGCCCATCGCGCGCGCGAGCGGCGCGCCGGACGTCCTCCGGGAGAAGTTCGGCGACCGGTGGGATCCCCTGGCCCTGGCCATCAGCGGCGACCAGACGCAGCACGCGCTCTGGCGGCTGCAGCACGGCGAATTGCCCCGCGGCAACGCGACGTTCGTCCTCCTCATCGGCACGAACAACCTCGGCAACGGCCACCTGCCGGGCCCGACGGCCGAGGGCGTCGTCGCCGTCGCCGAGGCGCTCGCGCGCCGCGGCCGCGTCGTCGTCGCGAAGATCTTCCCCCGCGACGACGCGCATCGCTTGGCGGCGCTGTGCCCGCCGCGGTGCGGCGAGGACGGCGGGCCCTTTGCGTCCTTCGCGCCGGCGGTGGACAAGGCGAACGCGGCCGTCGAGGCGGCGCTGCGGAACCGGCCCGGCGTCGAGGTCGTGGACTGCAACGACCTCTGGGGGTCGCCCGTCGACGTTTCGCTCGTGCCCGACCGGCTCCACCCGAACCGGGCGGGCATGGCGCTGTACGCGGACTGCCTCCTCGCGCGCGCGAGGTTTCTACGCTAATTAGACCGGGCCTTCGTCTTCGTCTTCGCGCCGGACGTCGCGCAGGACACGGCGAGCGCGTCCGCGTCCGCGTCCGCGAGGCAGCCGTCGATGCACGTCGAGCACTGGGACCCCCCGCCGAGGCAGCTCTTGAAGAGGTCCGGCGTGAGGAACATGGCCGCGGCGACGGGGTCCTCGCAGGTCGCGTAGGCGCCGTTGTCCATGGCGAAGAAGAGGTCCTGGACGCAGTCCTCGGTGCAGGAGATCTGCGGCCAGGGCATGTCGCTCCCGACGTCCAGCGAGCAGCTCGGCGCGTCCGCGGCGAAGGACGGGTAGCAGCTCGACGCGTCGTTGAGGCAGGCCTCCATGGCGTCGTCGTAGGCGTCGACGACGGTCCGCGCGACGGCCTCGGGGTCGTAGGCGTCGCCGCCGAAGAGCGCCGCGTAGGACCCCCGGTCCGTGAGGAGCACGCCCGCCGACGGCGTCGCGTAGCCCGCGTAGCCCGCGATCTCCTGGAGCACGCCGACGAACTGGACCTGGTCGTTGGACACGCACTGCACGGTCATGGCGTCGTCCATGGCGTCGTCGAGGATGGCGAGGTTCGCGGGCGCGCCGCCGCGCCGGGGCAGCGCGGCGCGGACCCCCGCGAGGGCGGCGAAGCCCAGGGCGAGGCACGCGGCGACGACGCGGCCGAGGGCGACGCGCGCCGGCGGCGGCATCGCGGCGAGGCGGTCAGCCTCCATCGGGCGGCCCGTCTGAGAACGCGCTTCACGTATCCTCCGAAACAACGAATTTCCGGTCTACGATGCTGGCCCGCCCAGGTTCGCTTTGACGCCACAGCCCGACTCCTCGTCCTTGGCCATGGACGCGGCGCCGGGGACCACGTCCTACGGGGCCGTCCCCCTCGTCGCGCCGGCGCGGGACGCGACGCGCGACAAACTGCACGGCCTCCTCCTCCTGGTCTGCCTCGCGGTGCTCGGCGTCGCCGCCGTCAACCAGCACGGCATCCCCGCATCACCCGCGCTCGCCCGCTTCGACGAGGCCGCCGCCGACGAGGCGGACGCGCCGCTGATCACCGTCGAGAACAAGGGCGTGCGGGGCTACCCGGACCCGCTCGACATCTGCGGCAACGCGAAGGACGTCCTCGACGCCTGTACGGACGCGTCGGGCGCGTCGCCGCTCCTCGGCGGCATGGACGTCGTGTCCTACTTCAGCGCCGACACGCCCGTGCAGGGCGACGCGCTCATCACGGCGACGTACCAGGGCAACCTCCTGCGCTTCTCGACGACGGGCAACCGCGACACGTTCGAGCGCGATCCCGCGCACTTCATGCCGCGCGGCGGCGGCTTCTGCGCGCTGGCGCTCACGGGCATGGACGGCGATCTGGCGGGCTGCGTCTCCGTGAGCGCCGTCGCGCCCATGGCCTACGAGCTCAAGCACGACGGCCTCTGGCTCTTCCGGACGGCGGGCGCGAAGAACTCGATGCTGTCGCTCGCCGCGGAGAACGGCGAGGAGGTCACGGACGCCGTCGACCCCTTCAACCAGGCCGAGTCGAACTGGAACAAGCTCACGCGGGGGAACGAGCTCGACGTCGTCCACATGAACGCGAACGACGAGCAGTGCCGGACGGACTACGGCCGCTAGCGCCGTCGTCGTAATGGAAATCATTCTTGTAGTGGCCATACGAGGCCCGGGGCTGGGGGAGCGAAGAAGAGAAGAGCAGAAGAGAAGGAGGCGCGCGCCTAGAGGTCCCGGGGCACGTCCTTGGCCATGGGGTTCTGTTGGAATTCCGACTCGGAATGCTTCGGGGCGGTCTTCGAGCTGCAGCAGAGTGCGTAGGCGAGGCAGCACGAGGCGAGGAGGACGATCGCGGCGCCGCCCCCCGCGGCGTAGAGGTACGGCCCGGCCAGGCCACCCCCCAGGCCCATCCAGCCGCCGTCGTCGTCGCCGTCGTCGTCGTCGTCGGCCGCGACCGCGGCGGCCGTCGCGTCGGTCTTCTCCGTCATGGTCGCGGCCTCGAAGACGTCGTCGGCCGCGGCCGTCGCCGCGGCCGTCGCCAGCGCCGCGTCGACGTCGTCGCCCGTCGCCGCCGCGAGCGCGTCGACGCAGGCCGCCGCCGTCGCCGCCGTCGACGACCGGATGACGTAGTCGACGTCGACGGCCGCGGTATCGCCGCCGCCCTCCTCGTCCCCGCCGTCGCACGGCGTCCACGCGCAGACTTTGCCGGGGTCGCCCAGCACCTCCGCGGCGTTCGCGCAGTCGTCCGCGGTGTGCAAGTTGCCGCACCCGGAGTCGCCGTCGCACGGCTCGCACTCGTCGAGGCGGCGGCGGGCGGCGGCGGCGGCGAAGGACGTAATCGACACGTCTTCCGGCGGCACGCCCGCGACGTCCGCGATGGCGTCGACGAAGACCTGCTCGTGCTCGGCCGCGTCCTCCAGCGAGACGCCCGCGAAGGTCATCTTTCCGACGACCTCGTACCGCGGCGACGTCGGCGCGTGCGTCGGCTGCTTCGACGGCGGCGTCGTCGGGCCGGGGCAGACGAAGCCGCAGTCGACGCCGAGGAACGTCAGCGCCGCGTAGTCCATCGTGCACGTGTAATAGGCCTCGAACTGCGCCGCGCAGGGGCCGAAGAGGGACGCCTGCGTGCAGCCCTGGGAGACCTCGGGCTCCAGGCCCTCGCAGCTCATGGTCGGCTCGCTCGCGTCGTCGGCGCCGTCGTCGTCGTAGGTGATGTTCGGGATGTGGCCCGTCACCGTGATGCACCCGAAGAGCGCCGTAAAGGGACTGTCCGCCGTGAGGGCCCCCGTCAAGCCCGCCGCAGGCCTCCGTCGGGTCGAAGACGTCGCCGAAATCCTAAGAGTAGGACGCCGGGAGGTGGAACGCGCCGTCGTCGCACGACGGCTCCCAGAGGCACACCTTCTC